GGCGGAATAGCTTGGTATTTAGGAATAATGGGGAGTTGAAAGAGCAATTGCTGGAGTTGATTCAAGTGAAGTCTTATTTCTGGATTAGAAATAAGGTGAATGGGTGTGTCTTTTCATTAGCTCAGTGGCAAAGTAATCCTAAGGAATGTGCCAAGGAGTTGAAGAGTTTCAAGAGATCTCTCAAATTGTTCTTGAAGCAACAGCAAAGTCATTGTCCCACTTAGAGGGCATGGGTTGTATGGTTTTTTTACACGGAAGGCTGTATGCGGCAGTGGTAAGCTGGTCTTTAGTTTGATTGCTTGGGTTGTCTTTATGGATCTGTAAGGGAGTTTCCTTTTTGTTTTTATTGGGTGATTAAGCGTTTCTTTTTTGTAGAAGGGCAGGAGTACTCCTTGTGCTCCATTAAATAAATAAAAAACTTTTGTTTTGCTGATCAAAAAAATATATATATATTTATCAGCCATGGCTCCCAGAATTACGTGAGGAAGCTCTGGTTTTGCTAATTGAGGAAGGTGGCCAATTATAGGCCATGCTCCGGCAGCTTCGGGTGGGAGGATTTTGACATTAGGAACATTATTTCTCCTTAACACTATGTAATAGAAACACAGTATGAAAACTAGTACTAGAGCTATTGAAGAATAGAAGTATGCAAGAAGATCCATGGTGAAATTAGTGGGTTTGAATGGGAACTTTTTCAGGCTTTGCATTTTGCAACATATGGTATCAAACATTTATAGAGACGGTCCAATAGTTAAAAAGTAGAATTTTAAATTAAATGCCAAACTGCCTTATTCAAGTTTGGGAACCACAAGAAAGAATTTTGAAAAGGAAATAATTATTTCTTAATAGATTATTTTTACTCAAATTAAACAAAAGATACGGATAATTAAGAAGGACAAATGCAATGAAAAATATATAGAAAATAAATTTTATTTTGACGCGAAGTTTCTCCCTTTTTTTCTAGTCAAGATGTCTTTTAAATTAATTTGTGTTCATTTTAAGATTAATCTCTTTAAAATGGATTCCTACATCTCCTACGGCTGCTTAGTTAGTGCATTTAAAAAAATATTGTGTCTTTATTTATATAAAATTTTTCAATACTTATAAAATGTTAATTTTAATTTATAAAATAATATTTATTTATTAAAATAATAGATAT